ATATTCATAATGATCGCTGTTACTGTTCCATCGCTAAGTCATGTCTGACTCTTTTGCAACTCCATGGACTGTAGCCCACCAGAATCCTCTGTCGATTGGATTTCCCAGGCAAGAATACTGGAGTTGGTTGCCATTTCCGTTCTCCAGGGGATTGTCCTGACCCAGGGATCGAACCCATATCTCCTGCATGGCAGGTGGATTCTTTACCACTGAGCCACCTGCCACTGAATCATAAATAAAACATTAAGTTCTGTTAAGGTCAGACTATTCGAAGAGTAAGGCATAGTACATCTTTGAAAGCCTTCAAAATTGTTGGAAGATACCAAAAATGGCCAAAATAAAGACCTTGCAGGGCTAAAGCATGGACTTTCATTTACCTTGAAAATGGAGCTAATATGCTATTTAGCATATATTAAATATGCTAAATTATATGCTAAATAAATGTCGGTATGTTGTGATAGTTATAGTTCAACCAACAAGAAAAAAGCAGAATCCATGTTTAAATACACACACATCCACACTTTAGTCACCAATGAAAACCAAACTACATTAAGCACCTAGGCAGTTTCAGTCCCTGCCTGAAGGTTAGACTAGAAGAGATAAACTTAAGAGAAAAGGAAGGAGCTAAGTCACACTGGCTTCATCCTCAGACACCAAGGGGAAAAAAAAAATGAATTGGGGACATTCAAATTACTAACATACTAATACCCATAGAACAAATCATTATGGTGTACAGGCACATTCCCACTTAGAAAACTATGAGAATCAAGTTGTAATTTTTAAAATTTTTGAATCAACAAAATATGCAATAAAACAATACTAAGATACCAGCATATGTGAAATGAGACTTTTTAAAAGTTAATTTTGCTGGAGAGGGTATGGAGAAAAGGGAACCCTTTTACACTGTTGGTGGGAATGCAAACTAGTACAGCCACTATGGAGAACAGTGTGGAGATTTCTTAAAAAACTGGAAATAGAACTGCCATATGACCCAGCAATCCCACTTCTGGGCATACACACTGAGGAAACCAAATCTGAAAGAGACATGTGCACCCCATTGCAGTGTTCATCGCAGCACTGTTTATAATAGCCAAGACATGGAAGCAACCTAGATGCCCATCAGCAGACGAATGGATAAGGAAGCTGTGGTACATATACACCATGGAATATTACTCAGCCATTAAAAAGAATTCATGTGAATCAGTTCTAATGAGATGCATGAAACTGGAGCCCATTATACAGAGTGAAGTAAGCCAGAAAGATAAAGACCATTACAGTATAATAACACATATATATGGAATTTAGAAAGATGGTAATGATAACCCTATATGCAAAACAGAAAAAGAGACACAGATGTACAGAACAGAATTTTGGACTCTGTGGGAGAAGGCGAGGGTGGGATGTTTCGAGAGAACAGCATCGAAACATGTATATTATCTAGAGTGAAACAGATCACCAGCCCAGGCTGGATGCATGAGACAAGTTCTCAGGCCTGGTGCACTGGGAAGACCCAGAGGAATCGCGTGGAGAGGGAGGTTGAAGGGGGAATCGGAATGGGTAATACATGTAAATCCATGGCTGATTCATGTCAGTGTATGACAAAAACCACTACAATATTGTGAAGTAATTAGCCTCCAATTAATAAAAACAAATGAAGAAAAAAAGTTAATTTTGCTTTAGCTATAGATAAGGTTAACCACATTACTGCTTAGGATTTTATAAATTAATAACAAGGAACAGTGTACAAAAACATTTAAACTATGAACAGGTCTGCAATAAATGTTTTGGAGAAGTAACCTGTTACTTCTCCATATCTAAGAATTTTAAATATTAGAAACTATAGTAAACTGCTTTTGGTTTTCCAGCCTTTGGTTTTCAAAAACAGTAATAATATAAAAAATTACCCTCAATTTTTTACCTCAAAGAATATCTTCTATCCAAACCGTCATAAGAAAAGCCTATGCATAAGTCTAATGTATAAAAACTTACATTTTATAATTTTCTGTACAAATACTAGCTGAAATTGATAGCTTTACTATATAGCCCATTTTAATGATCAAGTGTTAATGTGTCACCAAGAAAAGTAGTAGTCTGATGGACCAAATCAGATCTTAGCCATCAATGACCTGAGGAATTTCAAATTTCGTATTAAATTAGCACTGCCTTCTTCGCATCAACAAATATCAGTTTGCTAGTTGACCGTAGTCTTAGGAATAACATGTGGAAAAGTCTAATATCTGCTGTGTGCAGAGATATGGTTCAAATATTTTTCCTTCAGTTTGTGTGTACGTGTGAGAATGTATACATGGGGGGAGGGGTGTGTGTGTGTGTGTCTGTGACAAACACCACGCAAAAGCTGTTAACATCTTTCAGTAAAGGGGCAGCTCTACATGAAGGACATAAGTGAGTAACTACAATTCATGAAGCACCCTGGAATCAAAGACAGTCTATAAAGTTAAAATACTAATATGGTATTAACTTAAAGCAAAGAACAATTATTTTACATCATCTTACAGTTCAAGTATACTGTAATCCAAATAAACATTCACTACGGGATTTGCTCCCCCCCATTTTTTTAAAGTAATTTTCCCCTATTATGGAACCCAGATCTAAATGAACTGTTAAACACTTAGTCTAAAGATATGCCAAACATTTCTTAAGGTCTTAACAAAGAATCAACCTTTTTTTTTTTTTTTAAACAAAATGAGGCCTAGGTTAAATATTTTATTTGGCTTCTCAAGATGGACTGAAAACTTGGGCACCAGCTCCAGACCAATTCCTGGACGCACATCAAACACAGCCCTGTCATTTATCCAGTCAGTCAAAACAATCTTTTCCATCTAACTCTTTAATGTTTATGTCCTAAAAAGCTGCTAATTGAATCCAGCTCTTAAAATCTATTTGTTAAAATCTATACCATCTAATTTGTAAGTGGACAAAAATGAAAAAATACATATTAACCTTCCTGGCAAAACAGAAGGGACTCTACCATTTGTAACCAAAAGGAAGAGAGCGAAGTTTTTAATATGTAAATAGTCTTCTCTTAAAATATGACAGAGACAAATTCCCAATGGTTTTAAGAAACTGAGAGTATCTAAAACTGTTTTTACAATTAAGGGGACAAAGTGTATTTAAAATTCCTCAGAAAAAGCTAAAAATACAAAATTACTCTATAGATTTAGCCCAGTATTCCCTATCCCTCCAAAAAATAAGTGTAATCTTTTCTCCTAACTTTACTCATGTGAATTTTTATAATGTATCATATGCAGTAAGAAAACCACAGATAAACACTTTAAGATCTACTGAATCACACAAAAACCTCAAACTCATTTTATCTGCAGAAAGTCAAAAGCCTTGTTTTCTCCCTCATGTTCCCATCGTGTATATAACCTAGAAGGAATTAAGTGGCCCACCAGCCTATTTCTGATGCCTTTTGCACACCTGGAATCACAGGTTCTTTCCATGACCACTGACACAGGACTGACTCCACAGAGGAACAGCAGTAGATAAACTAAAACAACAAAGATCCCTTATAAAGGTTTCCATTGATTCATAAGGAAATAAGGAAACTGAATGGGGGGGAAGTAGGGCAGACAGGCATCCCCCAATCCAGGTTTTCCATTAAGAACCACTCAGCTAATGATTCTTTGCAATATTCCCTAGAGAGAGTAAAACTGTCATGAAAGTTATATATTTTAAAAATTACAGCCAACATACAGTCAGGCTAAATTCTCGAATACCTAATTCACTGCAAGTTTTATCTCGAAAGTTCAGCCAGTGGACTGGGATGTGACATACAAGCATTCAATTACAAAATTAGTCCATATAAATCTCAAAGTCTAGTGGAGACAAACATAATTACAGTTTATTCTTACACGCGCACCCACACACACACACAGATTCTCTAATGAAAGTCATCTTTCTCATCACAATCCGAATATCAACGTGCATAATTTATTAAGAGAATAATGAAGCCAAAATTACTACAATGGTTTCATTTACACGTTTCAAACTCCAAATAATTTTTCCCTAAAATGGGGTAACACGACCATGTAAGAATATCAAAAACGTACCTGTAACAAAGATCTAACACACTGGGGATCATAAACACTTTGTAAGAAAAGCCTGCTATCCACAACCCCTCCAGACATTCTTTTCCATTTAGAAAAAGGAAGGGGAGGAGAGTGGGGAGAGAGAGAAAAACTTTGCTTCAAAGTCCGTCTGAGCACAAACTTAGAAAGGGACTCAAAAAAAAGTGTATTTTTAAAGCAGGTCTAGAGTTAGAAGTGAGACACAAGTTCTGCGGCCTACAAGGAACAACCCCAAACATACTACCCTACAATCAAACACTTCCAAAACACAGAGGGTACAATAAGCCCGAGTCGTCGGATCAGGCAGACACACCGGAAAAGTCAACCTCGGTCTCCTTCCCTCCAAAGTCGTGCGTTTCAGGTGTGTGGCACCGGCTGTTGCTCCTGGCAGCCGAGAGGGAAGGTTTTGCACGCGGGCATAAGTGGGCGAACAAGTTAACAACCGGGGAACACACACACACACCCTCCCGTTAAGCGCTCCATCTTTAAGGAGTGTTTACTGCGCGCAGTCAGCAGCCGGATTCAATAATCCCCGCCACAGGAGCTCCTCATCCCCTCCACGACCCCACCTGGGCAGCAGCCCAAGGGCTGCTCCCCGACGCCCCGGGAGAAAGTCGTGCTTCTCGGCCAAGGCTTCTGGACCTCAAATCCGCCCGGAATTCCAACCGGGGGAACCCCCCCCCAACAACAAAAGACCCCCGAGTCACGCTTGGCTTTTCTAAGAATTTCCCAACGAGGGAGAGCGGTTTTGCAATTACTCTCCCTGAACTAGGCCTTCCCACGTCCCCGACCTCCCACTCACCATTGATCGCGACCCTGGCCCTTCTCAAGGCCACAGGCACCCCCCGCCGGCTCGCCCACCCCGCGGCCGCCCGGGCCTGGCTCCCACCGCCCGCCCAACCCCCTCACCTGTCAGGCGCAGCTTGACGGGCCCGTTCCTCCGGCCCCCGGGGTTAGACATGTCCCCGGCGGCGGGGGCGGCGGCTGCGGCCGCGGCGCGGGGCGCGGGGCCCGGGGCCGGCGGGCGGCGGGCGGGGCGAGGGCGACGGCGAGGCGCGGCGCAGTCACCACAGCGGCCGGGGCTGGGGCCCGAGCAGCCGGCGCCGCGGCCGCCACGGCCGGAGGGTCCCGGATGTGCCGAGCGTCGTCGCCATGAGCCGCGGAGGGAGCGGGACGCCGAACTCCCCCCTCCTCCCACTTCTCTTTCCTTGGCCCGGGCCGCACAACAAAGCGGCAGCAGCGGCCGGCCGCGCCGCCTCCGCCCGCGTCCCCGCCGCCTCCACGCAGCCGCCTCTGCCTTTCCCTCTTCTCGGCTCGGTGAGGCCCAGGAGCCGACGGGGCCGGGCGGTTGAGGCGGGCGGTGCTCGGCGGCGCCGGAGCAGGATTCTGGGCTCGGCCGCTTCCTCCTCCACCCGCCCTCTTGTCTGAGGAAACCCGGTCCTGGGGCCGCCGCCGCCACTCAGCGGCTCCGGGGGGCGGGGTGGAGACGGGGGCGGGGCCGACGCGGCGGGGCGGGGCCCGTGGGCGGGGCCTGGGCGGCCGCGCGCGGAACACCAGGGGGTGCGGAGGCGCCAGGCCTGGCTTCGGCCTGGGCGCGGCGGTCCGGGCTGATGTACCCTGCTGTCCCACGCAGAACTTGAGGAAGGAGCGGGCAAAGGATCTGGGTGGCGGCTCCGAGCTCTGTGGTGCCAGGAGGGCCTGGAGTTCAACCCGCTTAAGGGAGAGCTTTTGTCCGCGCAATACAGGCTGCCTTTATTAGACGCCCACCGCGTGCAGGGCGCTTCTCTGAGAGGCAGGGGCCAGGGGTTAGAACCGAACCTGCTGCGGTCCGGATTGAGCTTCGGCTAGGGTGAGGCAGGAGACGCTCTTCCCACACCGAGGGTTCCCGCAAATCCCCAAGGGTGTTTTGCTCCTAGTATCGTAGTTGCCGCCTCCATCCAGGACTCACCTGGTGAACGAGATCAGGTTACCAGCCTGCTTGGGCTCTTTTTTCAACTGTAGCGCAGGGATAGGCGGATGATAATGCCTTAAAGGATAATTAACAAGATAAGCCTTCGAGAGCAATGTATGAAAGCTCTTCATACAGTACTGTATTTTGTTATCTCAGGAGGAAAAAAATAGAAAATGAAATAAAAATAAATGTACCTTACCCTTTGACCCTGTAATTGCACTCAGGAATTTATTCTTGGTATAATAGTACAGAAGATGTTCTTGCAAAATTCGGTTAATGACAAAAGGGAGACGAGCTGACAGCCTAATGGCGAATTTCATTACATCAGTGGCTTTTAATGCCCCCATATAAGTGACAATTATGAAGATCATATAGTATTGAAGAGTTTACAAATAATCGAAGTTTAAAAGCAGAATAAAAAGTTGTATGTATGCATGCAAAAGTATACATGGAGGATTTTTTGTATGTGCTGTTTTGCTTAAGTCTACTACTATTGCGATTTTAAATGTTTAATAAAATCTGATATATTTTAATCCTGTGTCAGTTGTTTCTTTTAATTCATCAATAATGTCATTTTATTCTCCAGATCAAGTTACCTCCAAAAACTTCTCATCAATCTGGATGAAGTGAAGTGAAGTGAAAGTCGCTCAGTCCTGTCCAACTCTGCAACCCCATGGACTATACAGTCCATGGAATAGGTCTCCAGGCCAGAATACTGGAGTAGGTAGCTGTTTCCTTCTCCAGGGCATCTTCCCAACCCAGGGATCAAACCCAAGTCTCCCGCATTGCAGGTGGATTCTTTATCATCTGAGCCACAAGGGAAGCCCAAGAATACTGGAGTGGGTAGCCTATCCCTTCTCCAGCGTATCTTACGGATCCAGGAATCAAACCGGGGTCTACCGCATTGCACGCGGATTCTTTACCGACTGAGAGCTATCAGGGAAGCTCATCAACCTGGACACAGTCCTACAATTAAACTGATGCAAAAAAAATATATAAAGTTCCGGAAGTCACACTAGAAATTCAGGAGGCGGTGCTAGAAATTCATTCAACAAATGCTGAGTGCCTACTATGTGAAGTAACTCTTCTTTGTGCTACACAAGCTCTGAAAATACACTAAACAATTTCAACAATGGTTGCCATTACAGTTTAAAAGACTAGACAAATAATGGAAATAAAACTTAGCAAAAGGATGTATACATTACCATTTGCCTTATTTTAATGGCACACACCGTTCCCAACCACCTACTAACACTGTTTGCAGTTTTGTATTAGGTAACAGAAGTTGCGACCTCAGAAAACAATGGAGGAGCTGTGGAGATTGCCTGTTGTGAAGTTTAAAGCAGTACATTCAAATATGTAAGTGACAGTTCAGGAACAAATGCATACATGCTTAATATGCAGAGAAGGATTCTGTTTAGGCTTGCCTGCATATAAGTTTAAATCTTGTTTTTGTTTTTTTTTTTTTAAAGATTCGGATAAGAATACCTTAAAACCATACTATTGAGGAGAGCTAAACTTTCATTAGATTTTATTTCAGCCTTAGACACACAGCATTGCTTCATCCCTGGAGAAGGAAATGGCAACCCACTCCAGTATTCTTGCCTGGAATATCCCATGGACAGTGGAACCTGGTGGGCTACAGTCCATGGGGTCACAAGGAGTTGGACACGACTGAGTGACTGAGCATGCATGCATTGCTTCATCATGGCAACGTTTTTAGACATATTTTTGAGAAAAAAGGGGAGGAACAATAACTCTAAAGAATTCACTCTTTTCTTCCTTCCTAAAATAGAAATCTACTTCTAATGTAAATCATACCTGCACATGACTCTAATGGGTACGGGAATTGCAGAAAATCTTTTCAAAGACTTTTTATTCCCTTGTGACTTCTAATTTGCTCTCAGTGGAATTGTGCACCTTTTATCAAATCATTGTTCTAGGCATCTGTCTTAAGTATACTAACTCCACCTATTTCATATCAATAAAATATGTCTTTTTCCATGAATGCCACTTAATAGAACCTTCCAGTGAAATTGGTGTAAGAACTCATTGCATACCATTTTGAGCTAAAGTTTTAAAGTTTTTTCATTAACTTATTTTAATCACTTCAAGTTGCACTCTTTAGGATAGTATCCTAGACCAGAGGTGAGAATCTACACACGGTTCTAAGAATATTTAAAACCTTTTGTTTAAATATGTTTCTGTTTTCCAAGGCTAATGTTAAATTTGATGTGACTTTACAAGAAAATGCTTACCATCTGTAGTTGGTATTTTTCTTCTGCTTCAGCCATTAATATATTTTGTACCTAGAAGGGCCGTCTCCAGTAATAAAAAATCTGTCTGAGGTAAGGTTATGTTAATAATGGTACTCCTGTGAAGCTATTTTTGTAGTGTAAATTTCAATTTTAATACAGTTTACGTGCCATGGAAAAAGCAAACATCAAGCACTCAGCAGTTTCGACCACTGCTTAAAAATTCAACTTTCTTCACTGTGTAAATATTATTAATTTAATTTTCTGATGCTGGGAAAGATTGAGGGCAGAAAGAGAAGAGGGCGTCAGAGGATGAGATGGCTGGATATCATCACCAACGCAATTAGACATGAACTTTGGCAAACTCCAGGAGATGGTGAGAGACAGAGAGGCCTGGCGTGCTGCAGTCCATGGAGTCGCAAAGAGTCAGACATGACTGGGCGACTGAACAACAGTTTAATTTAGTATTTAGTTCTGGCTTCCTCCAAATCAGTTTATAACTGATGAAGCAGCCAAGCACAGCCACCATATACCTTGTCAACCTGACTCTCCCCACCCCCAGCCACCTCCACTCATTTCTTCTCTGCCTCTGCCTGTCCCAGGTCCTCAAAATAAGGTTCACTAAAAACACTCACATGTAGTCCTGTCCTGACATGATTTACGATTAGGTCACATTCTGAGCTGTTCTCTGTGACCCCGTCCCTCAACCCCTCCCAGCAGACCTGGTCCCCAATGGTAGAAGCTGAGGCCCCATCTAGGACCCCTCTCTCTCCTGGTCTGGGCCCCATGCTCCTGACCTCAGCTCTGGCCTCTAAGGTGCTATACGAAGATGGTAGTCCATAACTACATCCTCTTCTGAAGGAATCTGCCCTCACCCATGGCTCTCTCCAACACAGTACCCCCAGCCTCCATCCCCAGAGACTCTGATTCAGCAGGTTGGGTGGGGCCCATGAGTTTACATTTCTAAGGCTGCTGGTGGAGAGAACCCACTTTGAAAACCACTGCTTTAGACCAGGGATGAGCCTGGGTGGCCCCAGTTGCACTAGGTGGGCTTGGCCTCAGCTAACTGAGCCAAAGGTGGGTGAGTGACTAAGTGGCCAATCGGGTTTTCTCTCCTTGGAATATGAAATGGGCCATGGGGCCACTGAGTTAGAGGTGGTGAGTTGAGTGGAGAAATCCTAGAGGTAGCCGCTAAGGAAGCCACTTTAAGGCTCAATTAGATAAATAAGAGAGGAAATGAGTGTGTAGAAGAGAGACTAACGAAACAGACAAGCAGAGAGAAGTGGAGATAAGAGGTTTCATAACTAAAGAGGGAAACAAAGAGAGTGATTGTCTGACCAATTTCCTGCCGGTACTCCCAGCCCAGGTGTGACTTCTTACAATTAGTTTCCAAAGGATCTCACTGTACAGAATAACCAACCCATCTCTTAGTAAAGCAAATTTAAGTGGATCCTTTCCCATTCATTCACTTTGCCTCTTCAAGCTGTCCTAAACTCTTCCCTAGACACCCTTAGGTTCTGCAGTGCTCCTGCCTGTGTTCTTCCCCAGAACTGAGTCTCACTTGCAACCCCGTCTGTGGCTTGGATCCTAGCAGAGTCAGCATTTCTAGAATCTAATGCAGTCTAATACATGTGGCTATGCTGCTCTTGACATACGGCTAGTGATGTCCTGCAAGTATAAAATGCACATTGGATTTGAAAGATTTGGCATGGGGAGGGCTTCCCTGGTGGCTCAGTGGTCAAGAATTTGCTTGCCAATGCAGGAGACAAGGATTCGATCCCTGATCCCAGAAGATCCCACATGCCCAGGAGCAGCTAAGCCAGCGTGCCACAATTATTTAGCCTGTGCTCAGAGCCCAGGAGCCGCAACTACTGAAGCTCACACCTAGAGCCCGTGCTCCACAACTAGAGAAGCCACCACAATGAAAAGCCCAAACACACAACTAGAGAGTAGCCCCTACTCTCCACAACTAGAGAAAAGCCCATGTAGCAGTGAAGAGCCAGAACAGCCAGAAATAAAGAAATGCTTTAAAAGCTTTTTTAAAAAGGACTTAGTATGGCGGGGAAGGAAGGCAAAAACAAGTATCTTAACCTTTTTTATCTTAATGCCATATTGAAATTATAATACTTTGGATATATTGAATCAAATAAAGTCTTTTTTGTTTGTTTGTTTTGCTGCATAACCCATGGGGTCTTGGTTCCCCAACCAGGAGTCAAACTCACATCCCCTGCACTAGAAGCACAGTCTTAACCACTGGACCACCGGGGAAGTCCCAAAATAAGGTCTTAATCTCCCCATTTCTTTTTACTCTTTCTGATATGACTACTGGAAAGTTTAAAACTACAAGTGTGGCTCACTTTTATCTATTTCTTTATTTAGGCCACACTGCCCAGCTTGAGGGATGGTCTTGATTCCCCAACCAGGGATCAAACCCAGGTCCTCAGCAGTAAGAGCTCAGAGGCCTAACCACTGGACCACCAGGGAATTCCCATGACTCACTTTATATTTCTGCTGAACACTGGTGATCTAGAGGATGATGACTACCCCACCCATCTACCTCCAGAAGTTTTGCCACCAGTCAGCTGGATTCCCCATCAGTGGGCTCCGTGGTCTGCCCAGCAGCAGACTTTCCCTGCAG